TTTTTGACATGAATTATTTTAAGTTGAAGAATACATATATGCTTTTGCTTTGAAAAACTATATTGCCTGTCTTCAGAAATGTATGTGCATGCCCAGATACACCACTTATAATTAAAATGTCGGTAGTGTCTAAGGTGTTTTGTCTGTGAATAATTTTATGTGGTCTTTATTTTCTTTCTTTCTGTTGACTCTCACTTGCAGTGTTTGGATGGCATTTTTGGTGTAATTGCTAATCTTTACAATAAGACTAATTACACACACACACACGCGCACACACATACACACGCACCCATATCTGAAAGCATCCTTTCCAGAAGGCATATTTTAAAAACAAATAAAGAAATTGAAATGAACTAGATGTGAATGGATTTACATTCTTCTAATTAAATATTTAGACAACGTATTCATGTAAAAAATCTAAAAGCAAGGGAGAGATACAGCATAAGGACTAGCACACAGTAACACTGAGTAAATAGACTAATAATTTTTTTAGTGCTTCTAAGATCTCATTCAAACCTTTCAACAATCTATAAGGTCAGTATTATTATTTTCATTTAAAAATGAGAAAAATGGTTAATTTGCCCAAAGGATTTTAACATAAATCATTCTGACCTCAAAGTTATGACCTTTAAACCAAATAATTAAATGTAATTATGTGAAGAATGGAAGTATATATTTAGAAAAATTAAAAAGTTGTATAGAGATGCCAGTTGACTTGTCATATGCGAAATAATACAGCAATGAAGTTAAATTTTCTGAGTAAGAATGGGAGAAAACAGCAAAATCATTTGTTTCCTAACTATGAGCTTCTACGTCAAGTGGGATTCCCCTGTAGGTGAACTGCCTTATTTCTCAGAAATTTTATAAACATTTTGCTTGACAAACATAAATAAACTTTGTATTCCTAATTACATCTTCAAATTTCTTACTGAAAATTTCCCTCGTGAAGTCATGGAACATAGAGTAAATTTAAATATATGTCAAGACCAAGAATTAACATTGTTACTTTTAAAAATACATTTATAAAATAATTCTGTTTGAAATTAAGAAACAAATGTTGCCCAAAAGATTCAAGAATCTAGATGTTGTTATCTCTGTTTTTCAGAATCTCTGCTTAAAGAATATGGAGTCACTGTTTGTTTACAAGGCAGAGTTTCAGGGGAGTGGTAGCCTGAGCAAGTTAGTTTTGAGAGGTGCCAGAAATTATCTAAGACATTTCTGAGAGGAAGGCTTGATAGATGGGATGAGGAGGTGGAGTGATCCTCATTCCAGGAGAGCCTGGGGTAGGTAGGGCCTGAAGACAGCTTTCACATATATAACAAATTTAACCACAGCAGAGAAGGCTATTTTTGGTCCTACCTTTATAACCAAATATTGGATTATGATCAAGCTCTTATATTCAAATAGTTGCCTATATCTACTTTTATAGATTTGGTGTAATTATGACTTTTTAGTGTTTCTTGGCAGTCCATTCTATAGCAAAATGTATATTTTATAGGATCTGATATACGAGATTGATTATTGTATTAGGCCATTTTTGCATTGCTTAGGTATTGCTATAAAGAAATACCTAAGACTGGGTAATTTATAAAGAAAAGAGGTTTAACTGGCTCAAGCACTCACTGCAGGCTGTACAAGCTTGGGGATGACACCACTCAGCTTCTCGGGAGGCCTCAGATAACTTTTACTCATGGTAGAAGGTAAAGCAAGAGCAGACACTTATGGTGAAAATAGGAGCAAGAGAGAGAATGAGTGGGGCAGGGGTGCCCCATGCTTTTAAATGATCGGATCTCAGGAGAACTCACTATCCTGAAGACAGCATCAAGCCATGAGGGATCTGCTCCCATGATCCAAACACCTCCCACCAGCCCCTACCTCCAGCACTGGGGATTATAATTCAACATGAGATTTGAGCAGTCAATCAATATCCAAACAATATCAATTACTTAATTTTATACTTGTATTACTGGAAAATAAGTTACTATTGAAGTAATTTTCTGTTATACATTTTACCTGTATCATAAATGTTAGGGTTATGTTAATTTTCAACTTTTGCTCTTTGGCATTTAATAATATTTTATGTATTTAATAACATTTTCAATAAGCATTATTTTAAGTATTTAATGTTTGCCATTGACATGAGAAATCAGAAAGTGTATAAACATAGGTTGCATTCAATAAGTAAAGAGCTTTACCTTATAGAATAGCAAGAATTCAATTAATTAGGTAATAAGATAGAAAATTTTCTTCTTTTTGCTAGAAATTGTATAATTAATAGAATCTAATAAAATGTAATACTTCAATAAGTTTAAATTGAATCAAGTTTTAGATAAGTAATTAAGTAATGAAAAATTAAATCCTCAAGTTTTTTTTTTAGTGTAAATGAATTATCTTTTACTTTTTTATGCTTAGTCTTATTTAACCATATTCTGGAAATATCTTTATAAACAGTGTATATTCTATTTATTTGTATATTCTCTTAATAGATATAATGTGTAGAATATGGTACACATTTAAAATAGACTGTTTATGGCAAAACACATGGAGCTTACTTCAATAAGCACTGCACAAAGGCTGTGATAAAATAAATATAGCTTATAAAACAGCTTGGAATCAGCATGTGTGTTTTTATGTATTTTTTGTTTATTTTGTTGTAGATTTATACTAAAGTTTACTGTAATGCTCTTTACTACTTAAAAGATTTAGCTAGAAGATTTGTTTCTTTGACAAACATTTATAAGCTCCTACTGGGTGCCAAATACTAGGCAAGGAGTAGGATATAAAATAGAAAAAAAAAAAGGAATAAGCAAAACTTTTATGAATCTTAAAAATTAGCGATTGATAAAATTTTAAATAAGAGCATGCAAAGGAATGTATGATTATAAATTGTGATAAGGATTATAATAGAAAAATAAAAACACATGAGAAAGGATGAAGGGATCAACTTTATATCATATCAAGAAGTGTCTTGTAGGAAGTAATATTCAAATTGTGATCTGAAGGACAGATAAAAATTTCTAGAACATAGGAGTGAGATTAAATTGGTTAGAAACTGTAGAAGTTGGCCAAGATAATAAATCTTGTCTGATTTTAGAAGAAAAACAATTTTACATAGAGGAGTGCATAATCCCATTATACTCTTACAAGATTACCTTGTGTGTCTTGTGGGAAATGGACTTTGACTTGGATGAAATCATTTGTGTGTATGTGTATGCATGAGAATATGTGGTGTGATGAAGATCATCTCTTGATGGATTGAATGGGGCTGGTGAGGGAGATAGAGGCTTTAAGAATGTCCCAGTTTGGGAACATGAGCAAATGCAAACGAGTGTTGCCTTTATTGAGATCAAGAAGTGAGAAAAGGAACAAGTTGATGGAAGGATCAGAAGAGATAGATAGATAGATAGATAGATAATTTAAGTTAGTGTCATTGCCACATAAATGATATTTAAAACAGTGGGAATAAAATATATTACCTTGAGAAAAGAAAATAAGTGTTCAGCACTGAGCCATGAGGAATGTCAGCAGTCAGTAGTTAGAGAATTAGATACGGAAAAAGAGAAAACAGTGGAGGGATCGGAGAAGGTAACTAGCAGATGGTGGCGTGAGCAAAGCTAGAGAGGAAAAAGAGAGGGATAGGAAGGAGGAAAAAAGGAGAGAGATTTAAGTATATTATGTTCAGTCAAATGGTGTAAAATGAGCATAGAAAAGAGTTTGTGATTTGACAGACAGGTGGTCTTAGAAATGTAGTATTTGGAGTTGTACAGGGGGTATGATTGGAATAGGTGGCTCTTTCAAGAATTTTGCACATGAGTGAGAGATGAGAAATTAGATATTTGAAGGAGATGTGGATTTGGTTGTGTTTATCTTAAAATGAGATTCACTATAGGATGTTTGTATGTTGTAATATTTCATTAGAGAAGAATGCTGAAGATTCAGGAGAAAGAAGTCTTTAAGAAAACATAAATTATAAGGAAGGGAATGGCCTCTAGAACACAGATGGTTAGATGAATTTTTAATAAGAAGAGAGATACCTTCACTGCTTTAATGAATAAGACAATAGAAACAATATATTCAGAACCATGTAGAGTGACAGACTTTGGATAAAATATGAAGGAGTTTCAAATGTCTTCTATTTTCTCAATGAAATGTGATGCAAGATTTCACTGGAATTTAACAAGGGCATTCAGTTACTACAGTAATGGAAAGACATACTACGAGAAAGTTTGCCTAGGCTCCATCTTTGCGTGCATTCCAAGTCAGTAACACTAAAAGAAGTAAAAACTCCAAAGTTCTCATTTCATTTTTGTCCTGGATTTAACCTCTTTGCTCTGATACTGATATTTTATCTGAACTCAACACTTACAACTTGTCGAACCAAAACAAAACAACATGTCTTTCTTTGCTACCCATATATGGATATTCAGCATTAGAATAAAATACAATTTTGTGTTGTTCCTTATAAATAAAATGTATTTTCTTTATAAATACAATGTATATGATTTTTGGCCTTAATAGCTTCATGTACATATAGACCTATATAACTGTATATAAGTGTATATATGATGTTTGGCCTTAATAAATTCATATGTATACATCTATACATATACATATATGTTCATATATTCATATTCATATATATACATATAAACATCCATACATTTATGTACATATATGTGAAGTTATTAAGGCCAAAAATCATATACATTTACATACAGTTGCATATGTATAATATATGTATTATTATAGAATGACATGTATAATATATTTATATATAATATATATTCTTACAGAAGATAATCAGTAGCTTAAACTAAGAAAAGAAGCAATCCATATATAAATCCATATATAAATCTCTGATCTGTAATTCACATACTTTTACAAAAGGAGTCCAAATAATTATATTTTGTAATCTATGTAGAAAAACTAAAATAGGAGCATACATTAATGTCTTATAGTACATATTACTTTTTAAACACATATATCTGCACAATGGTTACCTTAAAGAAACTTGTAAAATAGCATGCTATGGAATAGTATTTATTTTTCCTGCAGTCATGCAGAAATTGCAATCGCTTTTATTTTGCAGATGGATAATCCTAAGCAAGGGGAAAAATCAGTGTTTTTTTTTTTTTCGTATTTGGTTTGCAGAGTTACTTTACCCTAAATACCTTACAAGATCTATCTGAAAATTATCATTTAAATTGGATCCTAAATTTCAGCTTCTGAGCATAATTCTCCTGTTTTTGTATGGTCAGTGATAGCAACTATAACAGCAACAACAACAAAACTCCAAAGTAACAAAAATTATAATGCAAAACAATAACAAACCATCAATAACTGAATCTCTATACATTGAAAACATCATTTATATATCTGATAAATTAATCTTTCATATGTTTAATTAAATGGTTGAACGTTTAGTGTTTCTTTTTACTTACGAAAGAGCTTTAAAGTATTTTAAAGGATATAACAGGTATGAAAGCAATATTTAGCAAATTTTCACTTGTCTGCATTATCTGCTTCCTCTAAATATTACATTTTTGCCTTTAAAATCAGCATTCCTTCAATTGCCTCATAGCTATTTTCTATCCAAAATCTGATGGGGTAGAGCATTTCCAGTGAGGAGATCAGGTTTTACCAGAAGCACCATTTCCCAGCACTCTTTTCTGGTAGAAGCTGAGTTCCTGGTGGAAATGATGCTGCTACTAGGATGATCTGAAGTACTCTGGAGAGAGACCTTCTGCTCAGTTACCATTCAAACTGGAACCTGCTATGACAGTTGTCAACAGTGCCCTTTCTGATGTCTCCCAGTTGTGTTCCATTTAGAATAAGTACTTAAAGAGACACCTGCTAGGAAAGCCAGAATAGAGAAGCTGCATGATTCTGGCAAACATATGTAGACAATAATATCCCTTTCCTACCTTGGGCAATAACTTAATAAAGCCTTTAAGACAACAGAATCTTAAGTAGTCATCCTTTCTGTTGTTGATGAGAAGGAGGGATATGGATACCAGCATCAAAACTTTCTTTGTGTGCCTGCAGCTGTGATCTGGGCACTACCATGTTATCCTGCTGCTATGACTCTCCAGCCATATGCTGCCGTTTATAGTACAGCCTATGATTCAGGCTGCAATGCTTGTGAAATTGGCATAAAGGCTGTCATCACTGTACTCTATACACCCTGCAAGCCAGGTTTTTCTTCTTCCTATGAAAATTAGACAAGATCCACCAAATGTCAAGCATATAAATGGTATATATTCTAAATATATAAAGGTGTACCATTCAAGAGGAGCAAAATATTATTTATTAGTTATCACCTAGGTAGAAGTATAAAGACAATCTATTAACAGAAAGAGAAATAAAGTGACCCAACCCAAACCTGTTAAAGTTTTCTGGTAAAAAAGAAAAAGAATTTAAACATGATAGACTAAGTGTTTGGATCAATGTGGTGTGGAGGAGTGATCTGCTTTTCATCATTTGTGTTTAAATGGACAACAAAAATCAAAAATTAGCTTCAAATTTCAGAAGCCTGATTTTGATTTTGTCTTTATTCTCAGGAATTAAACAATGAAACCATGATAATAAAGATGGTCCTATGGATAAAAACAAAGGTAAAATAAACTCTTGGCACTTTCCCCTTTCCCAAACATCAGATTTATCTTTTTTTTTATTACTTGATTACAGATGAAGTGTAATATCCTGGACTAGATATAGGTCATAAAAGTGACAAATTACAGTTTGTATCTGTTTTTCCCATCTACCCTGACTTCCAGCTAAAGGGACTTGTTTTACCTGCCTTGCCTCAATGTTGACTTCTGTTGTTCATATTAGTTTGGACCCTTGCTGTGTTTATGGAATTGCTACTCTGAGTAAAATATTGTATGTATGGTAAGAAGGCATGTGTCTTATGGAGGATGATCTGCAGTTTATTTATGAAAAGTCATTTGAAACTCAAATAATTATTTTACTGGAAAAAATTCAGGGACTGAAAGATTTCCATAGAGAAAATGAATTTTACCCAAAGGCTCAGTTAATCCTTAAACCATACCCATATGAAAGGTACCCAGTATAACTTTAAATACATCTCCAGTTTAGGTGTTCTTTAAATTGGCTGCTTGACATAGACTACCACCATATCTTCTACACATTTCTATTAATTATTCAAAATAATCAATTTTTTTCCTCCAGTATTTAAAACTAAAATAAATAAATAATCACATGCAACTGAAAAGTAATTTGCCAACAAGGGGATGTTAGAATTGACGAATATCAATTAGATCGATTGGAGGAGACAGTAGGCAGTTTGTGTATTTTTTCCTCAAAGGACAGAGGGACTGTCTCCTGTCTTACTTTGCACATGTCCTATCTTTCAGCAGAAATATTTGCTTGAAGGCCCTATTTTTCTCTACCAATTTCACCTTCTTATCCTTTCTTTAAAAATGTAGCAAATTCACCTCTTACAGACCATTTTCTGTGATTAACTATATCTCACTGATTACTGAATTGCTCTTCCACAGTTTTATTTAGAAATGTATTACTTTCCACTCATTGTAAAGTTCCTCTTGGAGGGGGATTATATCATAGCACTTGATGTATAAATATATTGCCTCTTACCATATTTTATGGCAATTATTTCTATTTCCTCTACTATGCTGAGATCTTCCCAAGGTCAAGTACATTATTTTTGTATTCCTGGCACCTAGTTATCTGGTTCCTGGCATGTAGTGTATATGTAATAAAGGTTTGCTGAATGACAGAATTAACAATACAGAAATGACTGTTGAAAGACTCTTCTATCTCCTTGTAACCTGTTCCACCTACCTCTTATCCTTACTCTAAAAAAATGTTTAGCATTAACAAGATTTTTTGAATTTCTCAGAAATGATTTTCAGCTTCCCGAACAGCAGATATCCTATATCAGCAAAGTGTTTAAAATCACGTTTTGTTAATAGTGTCACATTTCACTAGCTGGGTGCACTTGGGCAAGTTATTTAACATATCTGTGTTTTTCTTTTCCTAACAATCAAATGGGAATGATAATACCTATCTACCTAGTGGGATGGTGTTTAGTTTACATAACTTCATACACATAAGGCATTTAGGATAATGTCTAACACAGAGTAAATGTTGAAGTTGATGTTAGTTATTATTAGTCTTTATCCTAACAAAAAATCCAATGAGATAATTTGTCATTAGAATGGATTGTATCTTCCTCCCCAAATAATTCATATTTTATTGACATATTTCCAAATAGCCTTAAAAGTAATTCTTATTGTTATAATTCACTAATTTAAGGTAATCTATATTTCTGCTTTCTATGGTATGGCCTATCTGTGTTTCTTCTGTTCACTATAAATTCTACTAGGATAGACAGAGATGCTTTATCAGCATTTATCATGCTAGTTCATGGTGAAGGTAAGGACTTTTTAATGGAAGCTTTAAACCCACAATTTTCTTTTATTAGTTTAGTACAATGATTAATATTCTCAAAATAAACAAAGGAGTAAAAGCCTAAGCATCTATAACATAGACAGGCTTTTATTAGTGTCATATCAAAAGTCATTTAACTACTATGTGGTTAAAACTGTCTTATTTAAACCAGGTTATGTCATAACACTGCTGCAGAAAAGGTGAATAGTTCATATTGTACTGCCTCATTCAGTCGTTCACAATTAAACTCCACAACATAAAATTTCACTCTAAAGCTGTTTTCAACTCTCAGTTGGCCTAAGAACTGAAATTCTGTGCAACTTGTCATTTATGAATGGGATTTGTTTCTAAAATGTATAATTAAGCTCAATTGTTTGAAACTAGAAAGATGCTTTAATGTGTTTTAAGGAGTTAGGTGCATAGGCTAGGTCACAAACAATTTGCCCTTAAATTACCTCAAGAAACAGTTCTATGGAATATTACTAATACATAACTGTAACATGGGAAAATGCCTTCAGAAGCTAAAAATGAGATGCCAAGACTGCCTCACCCTCTGGACTACAATCTCCCCACTTCCCTTTCTGATCCAATTTCTGTACAGATGGAGGCAAGTCTTCCTTATTACAAGACTGTAATTTAAAGCTGAAATTTGAACCAGGTAGGGATTAGAGTGACTCTGAAAGGGAGTTGTAACTTGAAAGGGAGGTAGAGAATGGGGTTAGGTCAGGGAAAACAGAACTGAGATTTTTTTCTCTACAATCCTTTGCAGCTACTCCCTTACCTCAGTAGCTTCCAAAGTTGGGGGCACACTCCTGGAGAGGTAGTTGAGATGATGCATGGTAGTGTGTGGAATATATTAAAATTTCAATTCATTTGTTTCTTGGAGGTAAGAAATAAATTAAACTTCCAGTATTTGAAATACAGACAAACTCACCCCTATTGTGGTCATATGCAGCTTTGTAAGGTATGCTGAGGGAAGAGTAGGCAAACTCTAACATGGAAAATAATGGACCCTTTATCACACATTTGCTTTAACTGTAACTATCATGTTCCAGCTTCCAGTTTCCATACTCCTGTTAAGTAAAATAACAGTCCGATTATTACGCTGTAACTAAACTCATTCTTAATAAGTGGAGATGTGTTTGTTTTCAAATGGACAGTGTGCAAAAGTAAACATAATATAAGCAAATGCTAACAAACATTGGGAAAATGGCTTCTCTACTTTTAGAATACGTTTTATGTCAGATACATTATACTTTTTTAAAAACTAACATGATCTATCTGATCCAATAAGAAATAATATAAAAAAATGAAAATGTAAAGGTTATTTGAAATCAGATATTAAACTGTCCATTTGTTATGAATGATGACTTTTACCCGAGGCTTGTATCATGCCTTGATAGATAAACATACATGGACATAATTAAAAATGAATAGACTATTAGAGATTTATCTGCACATTTTATTTCTTAAACTTATTGACATATATGATCAAAGTATTCTGAAATGCTGGCCTAGACAACCATTCTGTCATCTCTTCCTTTTTCTTTGAGGGCTTCTAATATTGGTCTTTTTTTCCTAGCTGTCTGTGGAATGCTATCTAGTCTCATGAGCATTCTTTAATTAAATAGCCATATTTGTGCATCTTGCTTTTAGCAGTTTGCTTTTGTTTTTGCTTGTATCAACTCATGGCACTAGAAGGGATAAAAAAATAAAAGTGAGCCTTTACATTTTGGAAGGACTAAAGCATTATTTCCAAAGGCCTCATAGTTTTTAGTATATGGCTGGTGGGAAATAGGAAAAAATGTGATTGCTGAGAATTTGGATCCAAGAATTATGTTCTAGGGAAGCCACAAGAAGAACAAAATGTGGAGCCCCTCAAAGGGCTAATTCTCCCAGTGATACTACAATACAGTGAACTAGGACCTGAATTCAAAGGAAGCCAGGTAGCAGTTTCGGAGTATGGTTACATCTGGTTATATTTTACAGAGCATTAATTGGAAAGAAAATAGATATGCTAAATGTAAAACAGGGAAGAAAAGAAAGTCTCTGAAGCAATTTTGCTGTTTATCTGATACCTGCTGAATTTATATTTGCCAATATAATGCATGGGCAAAGAAAAGAAAGTGACTAGTGTTCTAACTTAGTTTATTTCTTTATCTTATTTCATTATTTTAAAGGCAGGGGAAGTACTAGTGTGAGTCATAGAGTTAAATTTCAATAAGAATTACTAGTGACTGAAGTTGCCAAAACCAGTTTCAGAGTTTCTATATCAATGTAATGGAGATGAGAACTATGTCAGAACATTCTTGTGAAAAATAAATGAGATAACAAACCAGGATTTCAGAGGGATATTTGTGGAAAATGCCATAGATCTCAATAGCTAGTCCACATATTAGTTATTTCAGGACTTATTGTAAACTATGTTCTAGTGGTTCGAGAAAAATGAATTTAAAAATATCACAGATATGCTTGGTAAGGAGAGTAGCAAAAGTCATTTATTAAGCAAAGGAATGACTGAAAACATAATTTGCATGAATTAAGCCATGTTCTTCTTCAGGATATAATACTAGGTTACAGTGCAAGGTAAGAAAGGCCCATCAAAAAACAAGGTGGTAGGCAGAAAAAATAC